AATTTCATGGGCGGGGCTTCGTTCTCAGCCAGGCAGTGCTTGATCAGAGCTCACCAACACAATGAGCACCTTTCATTTAATGATCTCAAACGCTTTGACTACTAAATATATGCAATTTAGTAAGGTCCATTTTTCCATTTTTCATTCAAATGGAAGCACACTACATAAAAACTATACACCAAGATACCAGGTCTCACTGGGTCAGACTGGCAAAGATCCACAAGCTTGACATCCTTTGTGAGGCTGTGAAGAGTGCTGACAAGGGCCCACTGGGACCACACCCACACGGAGGGCCTTACATTTACCATGCACTCAGCAATCCCAGGCTAGAAACAGACCTGACCATGGTCCTCACCAAGTAAAAAACATCTGCCCAGGATTAGTCCTGGCGGCATTCCACAGCCAAAGGTTGAAAAACCACTCCAACACCATCTCTACAGACTGACACATTCACAGGCATGTTGAACAAAGAAGCAGGACACACAAGTGTAAATGTTACCAGCAACCTGTTATGAAAGACAGGAGGGAAAGAAAGGACAGCACAGGTGTGTGCAGGCCTATTTTTGCAGGATGAAGCGGAAATAAAAATGGCTACCTATAAAAAGTGGAGACTGGGATGGGCGTTAGATTCCTGATCACATCTCCTGTAATTTTGACTTTGAGCCATGTAATTATTTTGTACATAAATATAAAACTTTAAAAATTCCAAATTCAAACCAAATAAACCTAATTGTATATCAAACAGGGAACATAAGCACAAACAAAAAAATATTCATCAAAGGCTTTAAAACATGGTATTTCATTTCATCCTAAGCAGGACAAGGGGACTGAACAACATGGGTTTGAACAGTGCAGGTCCACTTATACGTGGATTTTTTTCAATAATTACCTTTACTACTGTTTCGGATCTGTAGTTAGGAGTCCCCGGATGCAGAGAGCAATTGTATATGTTGTTCTATGCTATTTTATAAAGGGGAACTGAGCATCTGCAGGGGGTCCTGAAACCAATCTCTTGCGGATACCAAGGGCTAACTAAATTCTTGGGGAATCCAACAGTATATATATATATAGATTTTCAACTGCATGGGGGCTAGAGACCCTAACCCCTGTATTGTTCAGGGTCAACTGTATAAATTAAGG